TCTGTCGAACAATGAGTTTTGCAAAAAAAAAACTTATGAAACCGTAATAGCTCATTTGAATCCATTCGAAAAATGTAGACTGATACTTTTTTTACAGTAATTGGTACCCAATTTTTATTAAGCTTTTCATCTCTACTCTCAATTTCTTTCTCTATTCTCAATTTCTTTTTTTTTTTCAAAAAGCCTAACAAGACATCGTGAATAAAATAAATACGAGGAATGCTTATTTTTTAATCGATTTTCTTACGACCAGTTCAAATAAGAAAGGTTCTTGTAAATCGTAATGCCGCTTACGTAAATCGTTAGCGGTCTGTTAGCGCGGCCATCACGGGCCATACACCGGCTACAATGCTTTGTTGACTCCGCAACGACAACGACATGCGACTCGGCAAACTGCGCGGGCGCAGCGCAAACACTCTGATTGTGTTTATAGCCACTTAACGAGAACCTGCGACAATTCCGATTAGTATACACGAGAAAAAGTTCACCCTGTATTTGTCTTAAGTGAGAGTAGCTACTTTGTAAATGGCCTTTGTTTTATTACCATTTAAATATGAACTTTCTTAACGTAACTGCATTTTGTTGCTCATGCTATACATATTACTAGTTTTACGATGACATTATTGCTAAGTTTTTGTTAAATATTTAGACAACAACCGCTTGCTTTAACAGCTTAAAAACATAGCTGTCGTCAACCGATGATCTAGGTTAGGCCTAGAGGGCAGCTATCAATAATATTGCCTTTTACGAAGTAGTTTTTAAATCCCTTTTTGAATTTTAGATACTCTAGGAGTATCTCTGCAAGTAAACGAGGAAAACTGTCCTCTACCCTGGCAACGACTATGTCATTTAAAATATTTTTTTTGTTAATAACTCTACCAAGTATGTTCAATATGACATACAAGTTACAATAGCTAGGCTATAAGTATTAATATCGGGAGTACATAAATAATTCGATGTTTATCTTTTAGATGACAAAAGCAACAGACGACCTAGAAGAGCGGGACCGGAACGCAAGCCACGGCAAGCATATAGCGCTAAGCAACTCGAACGGCTGGAAGCAGAGTTCAAAATGGATAAATATCTTAGTGTATCCAAAAGAATGGAATTATCGAAGGCACTTGGTCTCACAGAAGTTCAAATAAAGACATGGTTTCAGAACAGAAGAACGAAATGGAAGAAACAATTAACTTCGCGTTTGAAGATAGCCCAGCGTCAAGGGATATTTCCTGGACAAATATTCGGGCATAATCCTCAAGCTTATTCACTTTTAAATCCTTACGCCTACGGTCCACTAGGCTGTGTTTTTACTCCTGTGACTTTACCATCTACGCCGTAAATTTAAATATTTTATTTTATTTACTTTAAAGTTCATAATTTGCGTTCATTTCACATGTAGCTAACCTTGTGTCAATGTAGACGCTTGTCTTTTTACTTTTATCACAATAAATAATTTGATTTAATAAGAGAACTAAAATTCTAATTCCAATAACTACTAGCTTTGATAAGAAATGTAAATATTTGTCTAAACTTGCCATAAAAATGTATTATAGATTATAACATTTTAATCTAGACGTTTTTAGAACAAAATCATTTTTTGACTTTTTAATATGAAAGTAAAGAAATATAATATACAATACAAATACTTTGTGTATATATAGTAAATAGTAATTTAGAATGGAAATTGTATGTACGTCGTAATAGTCTGTCAATATTTACTAATAAATTTCATTAGATCTCATTTTAATAGTATTAACAAGATCATAATTATTTATAATTGTGTAGAAATGTAGACAAGAATTTTATAAATAATAAAATCGTGGTGTAATTAAAAAATACAAATAATATTACAGAAGTTAGATATGCTTTAATTTCTATAAAATTATGTATACGCGTAGGATCGAAATTAAAAATGGCTGACGTTTTTATTTAATCGCCGATAAGTCGCCGTATTTATGTTATTCGTAATATTTGTAATGTGTTAACAATTTTAATTATAGTGTGAAATATACATAATAATTGTATAACTCGCTACTTTTGGCACTTCGTCTGTTAGTTTGTCCTATATCGCAGGTGTGAACACTGAAGTAGTATGATTTGTTTAATGTCATGTTAGTGATAAATAGTTGGGTTTGGTATTCTGACACTACAAGATCTATCTAATCGTAATAAACTATGACTATTATCTTATTTATTGATGAATACTTTTTTTTATATATAAAATGAGTTCTTTATACTTTAAAGAATGAAGACAGTTTCTTATAAGCGTAATTGAGCTTTTTAACATTTCAAAACAGCTTTTTCTTTCGTTGTTTGTGAGCATAGTAAAAATAAAGAATAATTATTATTTACCTGACTGTCATTGATTGCATAACGTTTTTTGTGTTGCTTATGGTTAAGCATTTATTAATAAATAATTTATTAAAAAATGTAACAACTTTAATTAAATAACGATAATAATAAATAAACATAACCTTAAATATAACGTTCTTTTATTTCCTTAATTTATTTTTAGCCATATGAGTATATTGACACAAACTAACTATAGGGTTAACTGTAAAATTAAAGATTGAGAAAAATAATTGAAATCGTAACAAAAATCACTTCATTTTTATTAAGGAAAACCTGTTACGCTGTCCCTACGGGAGTAGGTATAGAGGAAGATGATGATGACTTCATCTTTGCCAAAGCTCAAATGTTAACAATTTGTGAAAACAAATGCATTACAGATACTTTATTAAATCATTATTTGCTACAAACATGTATATTTCTATGAAAGACAATGGTGTTTGGAGTAGAGTTGGTCGCAGTCCGCGCCGCCCAGGCCTAGCGCGGCCGCACGCAGCGCGCCCAGCCCGCCGCCCCGCAGCCACGACACGCCACCGCTGATTTAAAACATAACAAATGGATAATTTTTAGTCCAGCATAATATATGTGAATCAAGTGTTGAGTACTATTAAATCTATAAGGACAACAAGGTTAATTCCATTGCCTTCTTTGAATAAAATAACCTATTTAAGAAACTGCAATGTTTTTGAAATCTAGTAAAATATTGGTTTGATAAAAGTCCAGAAATCAAATAATGCACTTACAGCTTCTCCTATGCAAGCTATTTATGTTTTAATATAGTAACAAGGCCTAATGAACCTACATACAAATGCAAATATTTTTCAGCGCCGTTTAGGGAAACTGTGATAACGACCCTCTTGATGCATGACTCTACCACTCTTAAAATTATTTACTAAAGCTTTAAATTAAAAAACACTTACTGCCAAAGCGGCA